AATTAGAAGAAAAGTGCACTATTTTTGATTAAGATTTTTCGATATTTTGACAAAAAAAATTTTTTTTAGTTTTCCGAGATCTTTCCAAGGGGGCTATACATCCTTAAGTGTAAAACATTGTTTTATAGTATAGCTAGTTTACAGTTTGATCCGGCTACCACCCAGTAAAAACTATTACCAGGGTGTAAAACAGTAGCACATATTCCGTCGTCTTTCCTTACAAAAGTATAGGTATCTACGACATGCGGTTTTAAATTCAGAGAGACTGATTACGAAACGATCGGATTGCTAACTTCGAGTGATAATGATTCACGTTCATGGTGCCTTGAAGCCTGAGTAAACCGCAGGAGTGACGTGGCGAGCGTTCTTCGATCAAATGATTTCCGTAAAGACGAGGGATACGTCGGGTTCTCAGGTGTCGAGGTTTGAAATCCGATGTGAACTTTCATCTCTTTCCCGTGGTTTCCAAAACTTACTTGGTAAACTAGCGTCTGCCGTGTCTACGGCAACAGGTAAAGATCCGCGAAAATACCACGCTCCCAGCTTTTTTCGGGAGATCGGAAATGCTTACATTAATCGTTCGCTCCGAAATGTATACAAAACAATCTCGCGGAACATCCTTATCATTATCGTTTCTTTCATTCTAGTAAAAAAAAACTGGGAAACGCAACGATAAAATTATGGATGAGAAAAGACGAGGACGCGAAGTAAGAAAGAAGCAAGAAGGTCGAAGGGGATAAAGGACACAGTAATTCAGCAACGTAATTACGGTAATTTCTCCGGCGTAAACGTGCACTGGATACGACTAAACGCGGAGCGTTCGCTGTACGTTCCGAAAGAGCGTTTTCAGCGAATCTATCTAAAGAAGCAGGGGAAGAATAAGGCGACGCAGCAGTTCTCCGGTTAGAATCCACGGCTGGGGTCGCGATATTCTTATGCGAATACGCAAAAATGTTTCCCAGGAGCATTCACAATTTCTGCTGGGTTTCGTATACTTGGAATAAGTAAGAAAACGAGGGAGACTCGTAGAGCGAGGCTCGGGGAGCAGACCATTCGTTCCTGGAGGAAGATCAACAAGTAGTTAGCAAGCGGTGGGGCAAGGTCTGTTTGTATGCTGGCGAGGGGATTGGGAGTGCGGGCACGAACACAGTGACCGCGTAGGAGGGATGGACGGGATCTGTGGGGGAAAGCGCGAGGAGGGAGTCGGAGTATTCGGGGCAGACAGGCAGGCAGCAGGCGGCAAGCGAGTCGGCGAGTAAGCTAGGCTAGGAAGCGCAGAGTGCCGCGAACGAAACGCGTCCTCGTTGGTGTTCAGTTGGGAAGGCGCGTTTGTACGACGTTGATCTTTCGTGTCGCGTTATCGTTCAGAGTGCAAATAGTGTGAAAACGAATGTTTGGTTCGCCTTCCGAGCGAAGCGACCGACGAGAAGAAGAAGAAAGAGCGAAGGGCAGAAAAAGAAGATCAAAGGGACCATGAGAACTATGTGTATCAGTGACGCACTTTAGTGATACAAGGATTTGAATTTGCATCAAAGTGAACAAAACGAAGACGCCTGAGAGGGAGAGAATCAGCGAGAAACGTGGTCGCTTCGGCCGAAACGACAAGCCGAAGGAAAGGAAAGGAGGAACATGTCGCGAGGGCAGCTTCTAGGGGCTTGGGCAAGGCCCAGCCATCTGTTCCTGTCGTTTCTGCTTCTCTGGGTTACTCTTGGTGAGTTGAAAGCATCTTTTATCAGGCTATTATAGCTATTGCGTTATTTTTCAACTTATTTACCTGCGTTTCGGCGTCGGTGTGTATGTACATGTGTGTGTTTATAACGTTTCGCCGCAACGCTTGCGCGATCGTTCGTAGCGTGTCGACGAGGCCAGCTTCGACAACGGGGTGGGGTAAACCGGGACCTTAGGCCGCGTTTGTAACTCGCGTACGCGAGAGGCCCAAGAGGCCTCTCGATCTCGATGCTCGCCAGCATCGACGCGAATAAACGATGCCCCCCTTTTCCCGATGAAAACAGACCGATCGGCAATTTCGTGTCGTTAATAACCGTTGACCGGTCGCGCACGTCCGACTATGGTTCTTCGAACCCGCGAAGATTCCACTTTGTCCAACGCAGAAATCGGTTGAGGACGACGCGAGATAAAATGTTGTCGGTTTCCATTGGACGCGTAAACCACGTCTTCTTTCCACTTTCGTAATACAAAACCAGTGGAGGTAGCCCGGTTCTGTTTTTCTTGCTAGGAGATATCGGATGGCAAGGTATCGCGTCGAGCGGTACGAAACGCGCTACCCTGAGAAAACCGAACAAACGCGGGACCGATAGTTTTCTAGAGAAAGGTGTTTGTTCCGCTGCTCGTGGGAATTTTTCAACGTTCTGCGCGAACCGTGCCTTTTCCCTTCTTACTTTTTCATAGCTCTATTCGTTCCAGTTTCGTAGCAACTTACGCTTCCCCGATTTAATCTTTCATCAAACTATAGTAGTTTCAAAGCGAAGTACCCGGTTGTAGGAGTAAACAATCGTAGTAAACATGCTTGCGTGCCGATCGGGAAGACGCGTAGCTATTCAAATTTTATTTTACGAGTAAAAACAGGGGAAGGTCGAGTGGCACGCGAATTTCTTGGGCAGGTTCGCGTTATTTTCGTCGATCCATAAGAAGCCCAGTTGACAGGTCACGAGAGAGAGAGAGAGAGAGAGAGAGCACGAAATAAAACTTTTTATTAGGTTTAATCGACGCGAAATTCGTTTGGACGTGGTTGCGTCGAGGCAATCAGGGTCGTGTTCCATTTTGCCGAGTCGTTTCGGCCGCATAAGGATTCGGCTAGAAGAGATTCGAGAGAGACCGTCGAGGAACCTTACTCCACGTAATCTTAAACCACTGCCAACCGATTTTAAAGTGCTCTCTTGGTGCATTCCTCGGATTTTTCTCTCCCCTCTTTCCGTCCCTTAGTCCCCACTTATCGTTCGTGTCTTTGCCCGACACTTTCTTGCTACTCGAACATTTCCAACGGAGTAAGTACGCGTAAAATACCAGAGTACTGTGCGAGCAGAATGTCACGTAAAGGACTGCGTTCGATACCGTTAGAAGTTCGCGTCTCAATCTAATCAATGTCGTTCGTATTTCGAAATTGTATACTCGTTTTTACGCATAGTGAAGAGCATTTTAGCCGAGCACCAAAGCTGATCCTGTTGTTTTCTTTTTCACGAGGGGGAGAGAGAGAAAGCGAGAATATGCAGATTTTCCTGCAGTAGAAACAACGTAGCGTCGCAGTACGGCTTCTCTTTTCTTTCGCTTACTTACGTTTCATCTTCACAGGCTGAGATTCTCAGCCCATCGTTTGGACCGCGAACAGATGTAAACAAATCGATCTGGATTATACAAAACGCGAACAGATCGATCGAAAGGACGTTTCCGATTCTTTCCACGTACGCGTCAGCTTTGACCGCATCGATTTCGATTTATTTTTGCGCTTCACGCAGGTATTCGTATAACAGGACGACGACCTAGTTTAATTTATCACAATTTCGATCTCGGTTTTACGAACGATTGATATTTAGAGAATTAATCTCTCTCACCTTTTGCCCTGCATATTTCTTTTCATAGTCGGACTCGGTTCCATACCAGAAAATTCCTGCAAGAACGAGTTCTTTTCGGAGAGCGCAGTTTCTCTCATTTTATATTCGCGGAAGTACCCCTCAAATCGTTTGAAATTGCGTAACGAAAATCCAGTGGATTATATATTTAAATTTAGCCCTTCGAGCCCTGTTGCTGGCAGATATCATTCACGTTTCCAGAATATGTACGTGCACCCGCACGTGTAGTCGGTTCGTAGCAGAGATATTATCGATGTACCTTTTCAATATTAAAACGTTAAAACGAGGGGTGGGGTACGATAAAAAAAAGCGTGTCTCAGCTTCCTCCAGGGGAGTTAAGTAAACGGGATACGAGAAGGTGGAAAGGGATGAGAAATTTTGCAATGCAAAGATGGCAAAGGAGCTGCGCGCGATTTGATTCTTGACTCGTACAAGTCAGGATTACATTTCCGCGGATTTCCTCGCGCGCCGGTGGAACATACGTATCCGACCTTCGAACCCAGCCTCGGGACGATTTCACTCCGGCCGTCAAGTAAGGAGAATAGATTTTTGAATAGGAATATCTTGGCTGGATGAAGGGGAAGACGGGATAAGTTAGGACTTGGTAGGGAAGCAAGGAGCAACGTGATCGGCGAAGAAAAGACCGGCTGCGTCGCGTCGTGGCACCGGGAACAATAAAGACGTAGGCCAGAGCGAGAAGGTGGATGGAAACGGAGAAGGAGAGAGGACAAAGAGTGGCGTGTCGGGGTCGCCGGCCGTTCCTCGTACCTCCTCGTAGGTCGTAGGTGCCGCCGCGTAGCTTGCACAGAAAACCACATCGGTGTCTTTAGCGGGCGAGCGCTAAAATTTTCAACGTTTTCCCGAATCCGTCGCGTCGAATTTACGTTCGTATTTCGTCTTAACTCACGACCCGGTCTCGGCGCTCGTCGATCGCGAAGAAAGGCCGGATATTTACACGCACCAGATAAGGTTACTGATACGGATAGTGTATCGACGATAAAATTGATGCCTAGTATATGTACTTGATAACGTTTCACTTTAAACTTAACAAACTCGACATCGAGACCTGACGTAGACGAAAGCGGATGAAAAATTAGAGGAGCCGTCTCGTACGGTAATAGTAATCCAAATTCCAAACGGTTCTTCGAAAAGTTCGCCGCTTCGTCATTCACGGAACTTTCTCTTTGCCGCTCGAACGTCGGTCCACGAAGTCCCGAGGAATCATACACGGCCCGGAAACGGTTCTTTGAATCGGGTCGCTGGAGAACGACGTACGTTAGGAGGTGATTCATTTCACGTGCGTTTCTCGCGCGTCTTAATCTCACAATTAGCAAAGCTTCGTTTAATCAACAGGCGGATTTTGTGCGTTCTTAGAAACGTGGAATCAGCAGTGAATGTAAATATATTATATCGCGTCTACAGTCTATTAATTAATGCAACGACCCTAGAGATGGAAGTATGTAGTCGCCGCGCAGTCATACAATGGGAGAGCCGTTGAAAGATCAAGGAAAGAACGAGGCGGCGCCTGTTTTGTCGTCATAAATAATTCGCGGCGATTGTATTATCATCGACAAATCCATCGTGCATGCATAAATTGGTTGGGTTTAGTGGGATTCTATCGGGTTTAGAACGTCTGCCCGTCAGAAGCGGCCGCTCGAAAGCGATGCTGACGTCCCCATTCGCGAAACGGTCAAATACATTTGCATTTGAAAATCGTTGGGTGTCGACTGACAACGCGTTTATGATGAGCGCGATTCGTGACACGCGCGGCCGACCAGATGTGATTAGTATACAGATTTTCGGTACGTGTTTCGCGTTCCCCGTGTAACGATCGATCCTCTCGCGTCGTCGGTTCTTTCTGTCTAAATTTAAGAAAGAGCTAAACGAAACTGTGCCGGCATAGTGCACGCATGTTCGCTCGATATAGTACGCGGAATGTAATTAATTTGAGCCGATACAAGCGTATCGAGAAAATACATTTATCCGGGCGGTCGACGTACAGCCCGCGAGATAACCAGCAACGATAGCGATAAAACGCAAAGTAAATTTTACCGCTGCACGGGAATATCGAACCGTTCGTTCAAAGCGAACTTCGGATTAGCTCGAACCGCAATTATAATAGCAAAACAAAAAAACACGTTATCGAAATCTGTTTTTGTCCGTGATTTCGTTCCGAATAGATTCAGCACGGATAATCTCGTTATTTGAGCAACAAAGAATGAACGCGGGTACAGAATTCTTTAATAAAAATGGTCGGCGAAGATCGGCGATAAACGTCTCATTGAAAGCAGTAGCTCGTTACGCTAATTATGTATCCACCGGCGGCGTACACGTTGAGCGGATAAAATAATCTCTCGCGGTATAACGCGACCGTTCGTTAAGTCACGCGTTTAAAACAGAGTTTTTCCGATGAGAATAAAAATTCAGCACGTCGGACGAGAAATTTCGTCCCGATCGTCAGAAACTGGGATTATCCACGGGAGATTAGCTTTACTCGGAACGCGAATTATACAAATTCGACGCACCAATTGATTCTCCCCGTTCCTACGTCTACTTTTTGTTCGTTTACCGAGAAAAAGGACGACGAGTCGCATAGCGCGGGTTCGTGCTGCGGAGAATTTCCGTTCGATTAAGTCCGAACGGAAGGTTACGATGGACCCGATCGTGGAATCCCGTGGAACGCTCGCCAATGATGCGGAACCTCGGGTCCCCACGTAGTAACGCGTAGCGTCGCCTCCTTTATTTCGACGCGCGTCCCAGAAATTCGGTATGGAAAAGGGCAAATGGAATTAGCTCGTTTCAGCCGGGACTCCCAACTCTCGCAAATGCACCCGTTACTTTTGACGCGATGCTTTTACTCACGCGCGCAATTACCATGCAACAAGTTACATACCTACGTTTGTATGTATCTACGTACTCCGTTGATTAACGTTCCATAATTTGCCACCGGAATTAACGACGCGTATCTTCAGCCTTTAAAGGTTCGTATCAACGCGTAGCGTATCGTTGCATATTCCGTGGGGTCATCAAAAAATCTGATACAAACGTTCCTATTCATCAGAATCTGTTCCAGTTGAAACAATATTGTAATACTGTATTGTACAATCGCAACCCAAATCGGTTT